CAATTTCAGTTCTTCTCCTATCATCAGAAGCAGAACCTTTCAAGGCAATATCTACAATCGTTTTAATTAAACTGTCCTGATCACAGGCTAGCGGTCGACCTTTTGATACTGCATTTTTAATACCACACAACTTTTTTCTAATATCCGAATCTAAAGCTTCTATTGCTTTTTTTCTTTTCAGCCTGGTTGCTGTTTGACGTTCAGTGGCTTTTTGACGAAGTACAAGATCTCGGTTTTTTTCTATCAAAAGCTTTTGTTTTAGTCTTAATATATGGTGGTCCTCTTGTGACAACAAGTTGCAGTTTCTTTTTTCAGTAAAATATGCGATATCTTTTTGCAAAATAAAAATTTCATTCTTTAAATGATCTTGTTTTGGCGCAGGTCTTTTTAAAACTTTTAACGAATTGGAGTTTTCTTGTAAGCCTTTTTCACTGTTTTCACTATTTGTAATTGATGGGGTTGTATCAGTCAAGTCATCAAAAGTGATTTTAGGTTCAATCACAAGCTTTTTTGGTGTATAGTTTTGTAATTTTGTCCAGTAAGATAAAATACCAACTTTATTTCGAAGTTCAATTTGCTTTAGTTCTTTCAATTTTTTTTCAACTTCTAAATTTATATTGAGTAATGTTTTGCTTTTTGCTATGATCTCAGACCAGATTTTATTTGTTTCTTCTTGAGACTTTTGCTTTGGTTTGTTTGTAAATGCTTTTAAACATCCTTCATAAATAGATTTGTAAAGTTGTTCCTTTTCACTAGACATTTTTATTCTACAACAACAACGACAATAAATTTATTTTCCTAACAATCATTAATTAAAAACAAGCACATTATGAATTAATGTTAACAATAGCATTATTAATACTAAAATTCGTTAACAATCTAACTAACTTATTCAATAATAAAAAGATAAATATAAAATAATAACGTAATAATAAAATAATAAAGTAATTAGACCAATAATTTGCAATAGAGTGACACAAAATATTAAAAGTAATACTAATAATAACATTAAAAATAGAATAATATCGTTTATGCATTATATTTGAAGACCTAATTTTAAGCGAAAATAACACTTAACTTTTTAGTTTATTAATATAAATAGTGTTAAAAAAATAAAATATGATTTTTGATAGTAATATAAATCATTTTTAGATACTTGCTCACTATCTAGTTCTATGTTCGTAGGATTAGAGTTTCTTTTTATGCGTACAATTTCCACAAAAATAATTTTGTACGGAGGAAATATAAATTAATCAAATCATTTAACAAAAACAAAAATTTGTGTTAAATGAAAGTTAAACAAAAAACGCTCGCTATTCGTGAAGTCGTTGCATATAATTTTTCTCGAAATCAGTATTATATATAAATACCTCCGAGTTTGCATTATAAACTAATTTAATTACGCATGATAAACAATTTAATTTAAAATGTTTTTTGTCACGTCACACTGAGGCAAACCACCCCCCTCCCCCATGTGACATTTAGTGACACTTTCTAATACTCCCTCCCCCCCCCCCCTAAGACTGTCACGTATTATTTGAACAGCCCCTTAAGAAGATAGAGAACGGTAAGAAAAAAGAGAAAGGTGGTAGAGTGAAGAAGTGCAAGCAGAAGCACATAAAAGAATAGCCTAAAGATTCGATCCTGATTTCGAGACAATTAGGTGAACTTATGCGTATATATACCTTTAAGCCATATAAAAAGTGTTTTTATATGGCTTAAAGATATACATACGCATCAGTTTAATTTAAAAAAAAATTTAAATTTAACAAACAGCAAACAAAACTTATGTTTATTCTTAATTCTCACTTTAAGAGCACCCTTCTTCATCATTCCAAAACCTATTCATAAATTCTTTTCAAATGGCTACTGTTTATCATCTCCTTTTCCTTTAACTTCTTTGAATTATGTTCTTTCTTACTACATCGCTCAACTGCTTTACACTTCCTTTTAATCTCTATACAGTACTTTTATCATAATTTAAGCTTGCTTTCTTTCTTTTTTTTCTGTGAATGTATAAATTTCCAACTAACTCTGTTATAGGAATCTTTACTGATTTTTCACATTTACAGTTTATATGAACTTTATTTTCACATCCTAGACAAATTGATTTATTACAGAATTGAATTGTACATTTGCAGTTAGTTATCAAATAGTTGTGACATAGTGAAACTTCATTATCTTGTCAATATCTACTTTTTGGTTCACCTTTTTCTGCAAATATCATGAACATTGAATTTTCTGTCAAAAGACTTATCTGTAAAAATAACTGGAGAGGAAAAGCTGAGTTTTTTTCCATTGTTTAACAATTTTCAACCTTGTGTCCCTAACCAAATCATTCAATGGATATATTTTCTTTTGTGACAACTCTATAATCAGTATAGCTTTACAAAGAACAGCACCAAGATTTGATAGCTCACACGGAATAAAGTCTCTTCCTTTTTTTTGAGATAAAGTTTTATCATATTATTATTATGATTATTTTATTATTGTTATTGCTATTATCGTTATCATTATTATTATTATTATTATTATTATTATTATTATTATTATTGTTTTGTATCAACATTATATTAACATTGTATCGATATTATTATATTAAGAAATAAGATTACTAAATTACAATTAAAATTAATTTTAAATTTAATAGATTAAAGTATTTGAAAAAATATTATTTGAAAACATTATTATTTTCAATATCATTTTCATGAATAAAATTTGACCAACAATAATAATTGTTGGTCAAATTTTATACAAGAAAATGTATTATTTATGACATAATATTCATAAATTTTTTTAGATAATATCATTAAATATTATATATAAATTTAAAATAAAGCAATTAAGTCCTCAAAAATTGTATACCTATTAAATCAAATATTACTGTGCTTGTCTTTTTTCTTGTTTTTATACCACTCATTGTAAATTATCTCTTTTATTTGGACTATATAATATTGGTGGGTTGAAAAAAATATTTTTATTTTTTTTAAGTTAGTTTTCAGGTCAAAAAATATAGTAATAAATCAATTTTTAAAGACTTTTTAAAAGCTGCTTTATTTTAACAGATTTAAATTTTTACACTTTCAAGCAAAAAACACCAAGAACCCAGTGTTTATTATAAAAACAGTTTTTCTTTGAAAAGTACGGGATGCCCTATTGTGCAATATAAAAAATTATAAGAAAGTCAAAAAACTACTTTTTTGACAATTTTGAATACTAAAATTTTTACTTGAAATGTACTTAGTTTTTTTAAATAATTTTGTAATAAATATAAAACCCTAAAAATTGAGCAATGTTTCATGTATTTTTCTGCAATTTTGTTTATTTTTCTTAGATCAAAGATAAAAAATATATAAAAAAAAATATCTAGGGAAAAAAAAAAGCTTTCTTAACTTTGCGCAAAAAAGTCAGACAAACCATCCTTTCAGTTTTAACAAGTAACTCAAAGTTTTTTAAATTTCTACGTACTTACTATCAAAATAAAAAACAAATTTTATGTTTAACTTGCTTATACTATTTGTTCATAGAATTAGTTTTGCTTTGAATATTTTGCTTGTAGAAATTAAATAAATTGTAAAATTATAGTAAAATGTAATAAAAGAAAATCGTTGCATCAAAAAAAAAAAAAAAAAAAAATCATAATAAAACAAAATAAAACAGAAAAAAAAATTAAATTAAAAAAATTTATTTTGATAAACTAATTTGTTTGTAAAGTCTGTAATGTTTTCGTGTTTTTGTATAACCTAAACTATTAAGTTAATGGAAAATACAAGAAAAAAAAAAAATTTAATTTATTTTATTTACGTTTATCTATTACAAATGGTTTTTATTTTAAAAGTAAGGGAAACTTCAAATAAATCATAAAGGAGTAATTGCATTTAACAAAAGCTAACACAGCTATCACCAAATATTATTTGCTGAATTGACTTTCTTTGGTAACGAAAAAAATGTTTGTGAGTAAACAGTTAATAAACAGTAATTTTAATTACTATTTAACTGTTTAATTTTATTACGATTTATTGTCTTACAACACAATGCTATTTCTAGTCAACTGGTAGTTTTTTTTAAACTACCAGTTGACTAGAAATAAAATTTTATTTGTAGTCAACTGTTAGTTTAAAAAAAAAACTCATTTTTGTGTTATGTTAGTTTTAAAAAACTAATATAGCATAGAAAGATATTTAGAGTAATCTGGGGCAAAACGAGACACTGGGGCAAAGTAAAACATTTAGATTTTCTAACCTTGTACGGATATTGTATCGTAACTTTGTTTTATTATGTTAATAATTTCGGGTTTTTTTTTGTTGTTGTTGTTGTAAAATAGTTCCAATCAATTTTTTTATTAAAATTTGTTATAAAAACATGTTAAAACTCACTAGTTTTAACATGTTCATAGTGTTAAAATAATATAGAAAAGCGGGCTGTTATCTATAGATTTCGTTAAAAAACTTGAACTTTTTGGGGTGACGGGGCTGAGAGAGCATAAAATACTTTAAAATAATTTTTTACTGATAAAAATTTTTATTTGAATGATTTCAATACTGTTTTAGTTGCTATTTGTTAGAAACAGACTTCAATTTTGGTTCAAATACTAGGTTAATTTACTTGATTTACTTTATCCTAACCAAAATAAAGAAAGTATATTTATGTGTTTGTTTTGCAAAAAAAGATGTATATTGTAAGTAGGGTTGCCAGGTGTCCGGCTTTTACGAAGGAGAATTTATTCATATTATTGTTATAACCAATAAAAAAAGTAAATTTTATAAAATTTTAAATATTTTATTTTTCTAAACTATGACCTAAATTCCCTGCAACAAAATAATTTTTCAGTTTCTCCAAAATTTTCTTTGTTTATCTAACTAGTGCCTCCTTTATCAATGATGTTATAACATTTAAGCATATATTCCACTACATTATCTAAACAAAATATTCTTTTATGACTTAGTTTGAATATTTTTTAGCACTCTTTTATACTACAATTAGTTTTAGTTGAAACATACCTAAAATGTATCATGTCCAGTTTTTATCATATTTGCTTGCTGCTAAATGTGCACGATTGTCTAACACTGTATATACAAGTTCATATATTTTATTTTGTAAAAGATAAGCTGAAAACTTTCAACATTTAAAAAAGTCAAACAAAATTAATATATTAAAAAACATTAATAAAAAAACACCCTCAATTATAGGAACAAGGACATTAAAGAGGAATTAAAATGACTTAAACCTGTTAAAACAGCTATTAACATAGCCACATATTAAAAAATATATATTATTGGTATATTATTAACTTCTCCTGAAGTAAAATAAATACCTAATGAACATTTAATAGTTTTATGGTCTAAAAATTTTATAATAAATTAGCCATACAAGATTGAATAATAAAAATAATATAATTATCTTTTTAACTAATATTATTGACACCACTAGTATTTTGCATGTTTTATAAAAAATATTAACAAATCTATTAGCATTTTTTGGTAAAAAATGCTAACAATTTAAATTGCTTTTAGTTGTTTGCTTTTTTTTGGCATGACCCAATACTTTAATACAATAACACAATACTTTATATTACCGATGTAGCTAAATACATTACATCTTCAGTTATTACAAGTATTTTATCGTTTTTTTTTTGTATTATGATTGTACCTTAGTCATTAAGAGATGGGTTATCCTTGCAAGTACCAAATGATGGTGTTCAAAATAATTTTCAAATAAGCTATTAATTAAAGCACTACATTTAGCAGTGCCTTCAACTTCAGATACTCTGTAATGTTATTAAACTTTTAATATAGCAAATCTTATTGTTTGAGCATCAATTCCAACACTCCTTAATAAATATAATGTCAAATTTATTTGCTAAAAAGTTTAGATAAAAAGTGAAAGCCACATACTCTCTTTTAATATAACATATAAACGATATGGTTCCATAGTATAAACATACTACAGGTCTAAAAATATTTCTTTTTTATTTGTATGTTTTGAGTTGGATAAATCGCATTTGAATAAGGAAGTAAAAACTTGTCTTATTTTAATGTGGTGGATCAAATATAAATGAATTAATTTTCTGAACTAAAATAATTTAGGGTTTTAGACTGACATCAACATTAAGGTTCATTCCATCATTATGTGTCATGGTCAAATGTATTTTGAATAACTTTTAAAATTTTAACTTAAAAGTAATTACTTGATACTTTTGAGTTAAAAATTACAAGTTGCAAGCAATAAAATTAAGGAGTTTAGTTTACAAATTTCAATTGCTTTCTAAAGTAAAATATACATTTCTCATATAGCGAAACCAGTTATGGTAGTCAGCTAGATTAGTTAAGTATATCATCATACTCTGCAACAGACTTTGAAACAAGAGAATTAACATGGGATATCATATTTTGGTTAAAAACATTTTTTGTTAATTTTCTTAAAATAACTTCAGTAAAAGGTATTATTTGTTAAGATATTATTTTTCTGCATTCAACATTATAGAGACTAAATTATAACTAAAAGTTAAGTCTATTTCAAGATATTGAAATAGACTTCTGTAACTATCTTTTTTTGAAAAAAATTGCTTTCTTTTCTTTTTTTTTTAACAAATTTTGTTATTTTATGTACTTTAGTAATGCGTTATTTGATAGCAGACTTTTTTGTATCATTTTTTTTTTTGCATCTAGTGTAAATACTTTTTTTTGCCATTATATACATTGCAACACTACATAGTAAAAAAAAAAAAAATCAATCTTTTGAATTTAAGTTTAAGAAGCTTTGATAAACTAGCTATTTCTATAGTATTAATACAAATTTATTAAAATCTTTATTCATTAATTTTTTTAAGAAATAATTTTTTTTACTTAATAATAAAATAGAAAAACATTTTTGCACAATATTTATTGTTGGTATTGATCTAGAAATAAATACTTTTGAACCTTCTAAAGTTATTAAAATGTACCTGAATTTTCTGGTAACCAGTAAAGAAACCACAAAACTTGAAGTGTGATATTTAAATTATCAACTAATCCAACTAATAGTTATGCGTTTTGCGGAACCAAATTTTGTGCTCAAATTCCGTGCGTTTTTTCACGGATCCTAATAATGATTATATAGCCAATGATTTATTATATAAACTTGATGTCAAACTTCGATCCGAAATGTAAAGCCTTTTTACAAACGGTGGAATAAATTTGTAAACAAATATTTTTAACTTTTCTTTACTTAAATGAAGTTAATATATTTGAAATTTAAATATTATTCATGTACAAGTGTAAAAGAAAATTAGAATACTTGTAAAATTATAACTTATGATTTCTTAATTTGTTTTCGATTAAAAAGGATTAATGTTTTGAATAGTTAAACGTCAAACTATTTTGAATCAATTTTATGAATTAACATTTTTTAATAAACATAGGCTCATAAAAAAACTTTTTAAAGTATTTTGTAATTATTAAAACGTGTTTTTGAATTATCTTTAATTTACTGAGATCTTTTGACTTGCATTTCTAACTTTTATTCCACACATCGGCTGCAGACTTCCTTTTTACAAATGGCAGAATATTGTTATAAACAAAACAAAAATGGTTTTAATTTTTTGTCCAATAAAATCCTGCAAGTTAGACAACTAGTTTATATAATATATCATTGAATTTAGCTGACACAAGAACGCCTTTTTTTTTATTTGGCATGATAGCGTTTCACATCAGGGTACCCTGTGATGCAAATTTTGAAATTTTTTAGTTTTGTCCTCGGAAAATAATTTCATTTTAATGTTCAAGTTAAGTGAAATTTTGAATTTATAGTGCGACAATAAAAACATCTTTAGTATGAGAACCACTAAATATAATTTGATAAAATTTGGTGCAAATGTAGCAAATGACCACACCAAACTTTGGATAAATTTTCATTCTGATTGATTGACTGGTTAAAGGTTTAAAGCAATTTTGGTTTATATTTTGTTTGTTTTTTGCTATTCAAAACGTTACCGATTACTATGATATTTGATCAATATTTTCAAAATAAAAGTCAATGAGTGTTCTGCTATGCAGTATCAACAACTTTAGTTATAATTACTTTATTGTTAGATTTACCATTTCCATTTCATAGAAAAAATATTAATTTGGTATTTACAATGTGGTTTGAATTGGCTTAAGCATAGCTTAAATATCTCAAGATTTCCTAAGATAGAAACTACTACCAAAATATATATACAGGGTCATCCATAAAGGACGTCACGCTAAATTTAAATAATAGCAAGAAGTCTGAGAATGTTGGCTCTCGTGCGCAGAGATTTTTAGAGTGTTATAGCGCTTTATGTTCGATAAAAATCTCCAAGGAAGGGAGCCGATATGCTTCTACTTCTGGTTAGCATTTATAATCTGAACGAGGTTTTTCATGGACGACCCCACATATATTTTTTTAATATCTTCACTTCCAACAAAGCTGCAATCAACCACTAATAAATTTGGAAGTTACTAAAAGAGAAGAGATGAAGTTTATACAGCAAGAAAACGATTAACAGAAAATTTAAAAGGTTGAAAATTATATGAATCAGGAAAACAAGATAAAAAAAGAGAATACGAATAAAAAAACTAGACAAAGTTTTTATGCCACTTAAGAACAATCACAGTATTTTTAGATCACAGTAAATTTTAGATTAAATTAAATAGCAAATAACACCGCAAATGAGTCTTTTTTACGAAAAATAGCCAAATATAAACTTTAACATTAAATCAGGTTTATAAATACATTGTTTAATTATATTTTTTGAAACAAAAAACAAAGTTTAAACATTTTTCATTCATTTTTTTAATATAACTTGCTCGTTAAAAGTTATAATGATTTTGAAATTCACTTTATTTAAAAACTATTCTATTTCTTAAAGTAATCAGCTTGATAGACAACACGACGACTAGCTTAAGTATCAATACAGTTATTTAAAAAGACAGTTTTTAAGTGGATCTTAAATTCTTTATGTCTAAATTAGAGTTATATAATAGTTTTAAGCAAAATAACCTTCAAAATGTCTGTTTTTAAAAGAAATACAAATATACTTACGACATAAAAAGAAGATATATGTTGTAAACTGGAATTGTAGATTTATATATTAGGAATCAATGCTGGATTTTTTAGATCATATGATTTATTATGGATAAAGGTTATCTAAGAATTTGCAAGTTGGTTATTTTTTCAATCAAAAAGATGACTCAAAAACCATTATGGATTTTTAAAATATATTATTGTCGGTGTTCTATTATTAACCGCTGCGTAAATATTTAAAAATTGATATTACATCATACATTTGGAAGGGTAAAAAGTGAAAAATTTTAAATTAAACTTTTTTTAAATCTGGAAAATTTGAGTTCAAGATAAAGTATTAGAAAAAATTATTATTTATTTCAAATAACTATTGCGTAACACTTCTGCCAATATTTTTCTTTAGCACATTTTAATGACAACTTTTTTATTCAACTAAATATTTTTCTGATTCAAAAAAAGTTTAAATTATTATACTCTTATTTTTTAAATATTGTAAGTTTAATAATTATTAATAATAATATAATTTTAATATATTAATTAAATATTTGTATGTTTTTTTGATTCATTTAATTACCTAACTTTTATACAATAATAAATCTAGGGTACCTTTCTTTGTAAAGAAAGATACCCAATAAACATCAATAATTTGTGTTTTTTGGGTAGCATAGCATAAAGTAAAATTTACTTACAGTATTACTATTTTTACTTTACTCTTAGTCTGAAAAATATTATATACATTTGACATTTACTTACAGTATTGCTTATACTATTAGTATAGTTAATACTATAAGTAAATGTTAAAAGCATATTATATGATTCAGTTTAAAACTTATAGTGTTAACCTTATTATATGCCTTTGACTAAAGCTTAATCATCATCATTGTATCATTCTTAAATGAAATTTTATTTGTTCGTGGAACAAAAAAATTGTAACACAGTGAGATTGTAGAAATAGCAGCCCAAACAGATCGAAACACTTGGTACAGTATACTTACAGTTTAGTTTACTTATCTTGTTTTATTTTTAAAGATGTGGCAAAAGAAAAAACTTACTCCGGATTGGCAAATCATAAATAAAAATGACACCATACGTACCTTCAATCAATCAATTTAGAATTGAATAATTTAGCTACAATTACATTTAAATAAGTTGTGATAAAGTCTTAAAGTCCTTTCTAAACTTAATGCAATAAAAGGTTAGTAGATTCCTTACTAAATTAAGAAAATACACAATTAGCAAAGTTTACTAAAAATTACTACAAAATAATTAACAAATTTTTTTATCCAACTGCTAATCTTTCATGCATATTTTTTAGTTAGCAATTAGCATGTAAACACACACTAATATTTTTTTCGTAATTGTGTGTTGATTATAATAGTTTATTGTTATTATTTATTTTTGTCACAATTTTTTTTCAAATGGGCTTAAAACTACTTTTATTTATTTTCATTTTTAATTTATTAAAGCACAGGAATGAACATTTTTTAAAGTTAGTTTAAATCTAATTTTATTTAACTGCTTTTTTTTTGTTTTTATGTTTTTTTTTCGTATTGTGGAATTAGTTATAAATAGTTTCTTTTTTTTTTTAACATCACAGACAAATAAATTAAACGATGATATTGTGAGCCTAAAAGAAGTGAAAAAAGCTATTCAGCTAAGCATCGATATTGTCTTATCTGAACAAGCAGAGATTGAAAATGAGTATTATGCGTTAAACATCTAATATGAAAAAGACTGTTTGACCAATACCCAGTAAGCACAGATCGTTTTTAAAACGTTTAAAAAACGTTAATATTCGTTTTTATAAGTTTTTTAAACGTTTTAAAAATGTCCTGTGCATACTGGGTAGTAATATACAAAATCTAAATGGTCAAATAGTACTACAACTGACTTTATGACTGTTGATGAACATGTTCAAAAAAAAATTGAGACAAAATAAGTCATTATGAAAAATAAATAAGAATAATCAAGAAGTAATTACCTGGCAAAAAGTCTTTTGTAATATTTCAACATAATTAAATTTAATTGTTTATATTTGTTGTTATCACATACCAATATTTCACTTTTACACGTATTAGAAACTGTATGTATGTTTATATGTTTAAAATTTAGTTTAAAATACATTTGTTTTATCTCATATATATATATATATATATATATATATATATATATATATATATATATATATATATATATATATATATATATATATATATATATATATATGTATATATATATATATATATATATATATATATATATATATATATATATATATATATATATGTATATATATATATATATATATATATATATGTATATATACAGTTTTTTGTTTGTTTCATTCACTTGAATATAGTGTACTATAAATAAAGTAATTGTATTTTAGTATTCCCTCAAGCGCAACCCAACCTTCAACCAGACCTTTCATGTTTAGCCCATTCCATATATTTAATTTTCGTAAGAGTTTTTTTTTTGTACAAACCAATTAGATTTGTGTTTACAAAGTTATACTTAATTCAAATAAATAAAAATAATAAAAAATAAAAAATGTATTGGGAGTGTGCAAACATTAATTTTTTCGAAAGAAAATTACTTTTTATAATCTTCTTTTAAAACCTTTTCGGAAAAAGTATACGAAGAGTTATGCATGGTAATTTATTATTTATTTATAATATAATTTATTATTTATTAAGTATACGAAGAGTTATGCATAGTATTTATGCATGGTAATTTGCACGATACTACTTTCCTGTTATTTTTAAAACAAATTTAGTAAATATGTTTACGTTGCGTCCATAACTAAATAATTTTTTAAAAGCTCGTAAAACTTAGCAAGTGGGAAAAAAAATTTCAAAAATAACCGCCTCAGAAAAAGAATAGAATCTGGAGTAAGAAATTTACAAACACTATAAAGAGATTCAACTTTAGCAGATACTAGCTTTTATTTTTTTTTAAATTTATTTATTACAGTAATCAATAAAACTTCCACATATAAAGTTTAGTATTGATGAAGCAAGAACACCAGGTTTTCCTATGCTGAAAATGGACACTGCTGCAGCCGAAGCAGCATCTTAACGTGTTTTTTCAAAAAGTGCACTGTGGGCACATCAACTACATCCTGAGCTGATTTTTTCCATCGTTTAATAACACGGTTTGTAAAGAAGTGCTGACGTTCTGAATAACTTTTGATCAGTTGTGGTTTTAAACATGAGCTGTTTCTTCTC